AAGTAAAATAAATAGGTTGCAATTATTTAGTCGGCATAGGCTGAATGTGCATTTGGGTATCCACTTGAGGAAATTAAAAGCCAATGAGGCTTGGGTCGCGTGACTTGTTCTGAGTGTAGGAGGACACGGAGTGATTCCATGTGTTGTTTGTGGCTCTTGCATGCAAGAGCCGGAATTGATGTGAAGGTATGGTGTTCGCGTATAGGAGACGCAAGTCTTGGGTTTTCCATGGAATCACTCCGTGTCCTCCTACACTCATAACTATTTTTAAGCTATCCAATGATGAAAAGCATCCAATAATCATGGTAGGAAGTGTTTGGGCATGGCAAGTCTTGGGTTTGTGGCCTTGGCTGCTATCGGGTTGGTCTTTGGCTGCTTGGTTTGAGCTTAAAAAGTAGGGTTCTACTTGGTGCTAGCTCATTAATGCTTGAGCTGAAGTTCAGCTCATTATTTGGAGGAGTAATTGCACTTCCTAGCTCATAAAATCATAAAGGTGTGTAGAGTGGAGCTTGTCTCTTCCTATTCATGTGTCTCTTTGGTTTGCCTGCTAACGGAAGAGGCAGACGGAAGCGGCAACTTGTCGGAGTGGTCGGGTCGTGCAGACTGATTAGAGGCGACAGTGTAGGGATTTGAGCGTGCCAGACAAGGGCACGAGCAAGCTCGATCAGTACAAGAAGAGTAGGAATAGAGACTTGTGCATATATAAAACATTACTTGTGTGGGGAAGAACAATAGTAGTGAACTGGGAAGGGAAATGGGCTCACAGATGGGACTATAGTCAACGAGTTGAGGGATTGAACAGGATTTGGTAAATTCAAGAAACAGAACGTAAGTATCTGTGTCTTTATTCAGTTTTATATCCCTTTTATTGATTGAATTATTGAAGGTAGTTATTGAGATGAAAAGAGACTTCATTTGGCAAGGTGGGGCCAGATCGACAATATGTCGATTGCTTCCCAAAGAGATGCACCTTTTTTTCAGTTTGTTTGATCGCATAACTATATTATGTCAAATGGATTGTTTCATGGAGCATCAGCTCTACTCGTTTAACTCTTGCTTCCTAAAGTTTTTTTTTTTTTTTAATTCGTCAACAACTACCTTAAGGTGAAATTCTATAAGATGGTAGTGAGGCCTGCAATGCTTTATGGTGCCGAATGTTGGCCATTAAAAGAGAAGCATAATACTAAGTTAAGTGTGGCAGAGATGAGGATGCTCAGGTGGATGAGTGGCTTTACCCTTAGAGATAGGATACGAAATGAGCATATATGTGAAAAGGTTGGAGTAGCTCCAGTAGAAGATAAGATTAGAGAGAGTCTCCTTAGATGGTTTGATCACATAAAAAGGCGGCCTTCCGATGACCCGCTTAGGAGAGAAGAGGTATTAGATTTGATTTGTGTTAAGAAAGGTAGGGGTAGACCTAAAAAGACTTGGTTAGAAAATATTAGGAATGACCTTTCTTTATTAGATTTAAGCGAGAATTTGACTTTTAATAGGGGATTCATGTAGCCGACCCCACGTAGTGGGATAAAAGCTTGATGTTGTTGTTGTTGTCAACAACTACCTTAAGGATGAACTCTTTAGTTTGCATCATATACAATAAGAGATTAAAAGATAGAGATTTGAAGAGTATAGTTTTGAATGATAATGGTCCATTAGTTTGTAATGGTAAGTTATCAAATGATAAATGATTAATGGAGGATGAAAATAAAATAGCACCAACACAATTGCAAGGAGGGATCTCAAATGTAGACATGTTTGATGGAGGAAGGAACAATACCAATACAAGACAACAAGAAATTAACAAAAAAGGTTCATATAAACTTTACAACAACAACAAACATTTATCATACTATATTAGGTCAGCTACATGAATTCTTTTTTTTCCATTATGTCTTATTAAAAGTCAAATTCTCATTTAAATCTAATAAAAATAGAACATTTCTAATACTTTCAAACCAAATCTTTTTATATCGACATCTATCTTTCTTAACATAGGTCGGATCTAATACATCTATTCTCCTATCGGATCATCGGAAGGCCAATGCTTTATGTGAACAAACCATCTATAGCAACTCTCTCTAATTTTATCTATCACTGGAGCTACTCCAACCTTATCACATATATACTCGTTTCACATTCTACCTCTAAATACAAATATGCTCATCCACCTAAGCATTCTCATCTCTACAACAATTAATTTTATGCTTCTTTTTAACGGCCAACATTTTACGCCATAAAGCATTGCAAGTCTCAGCACCATCTTATAAAATTTTCCCTCAAGTTTGAGAGGTATTTTTCTATCACACAATAGGCCCGATGCATTCCTCCACTTCAACCATCCAACTTGAATTCTACTAATAATATCCTCATCTATTTCACCATCGTTTTGAATAATAAACCAGATATATCTAAAACGTGCACTCTTTTTAATGACTTGATCATCCAATATCACAATCCCACCACTACATTTATTACTACTAAAATTATGCTCCATGTATTCGATTTTAGATCTACTCAAACAAAAATCTTTAGAATCTAAGATTGACCTCCATAATTCAGATTTTTCTTCAACTCCCTCTCTAGTCTTATCAACAAGAAGAATAACATCAGCAAAAATCATACACCAAGGTACATCCTTCTGTAGATGTCTGATGCATTTATATTTTAGTTTATTTTATTTTGATGTAATTTAAACAATATTAGTTATGTTTAATGTTTTTTTAAGCTATCCAATGATGGAAAGCATCCAATAATCATGGTGGGAAGTGTTTGGGCATGGCAAGTCTTGGGTTTGTGCTTGCATTTGGTTCTTTCTTGTCCTTGGGCTGCTTGCTGTTCTCGGTTTGGGGCCTTGGCTGCTATCAGGTTGGTCTTTGGCTGCTTGGTTTTGAGCTTAAAAAGTAGGGTTCTACTTGGTGCTAGCTCATTAATGCTTGAGCTGAAGTTCAGCTCATTATTTGGAGGAGTAATTGCACTTCCTAGCTCATAAAATCATAAAGGTATGTAGAGTGGAGCTTGTCTCTTCCTATTCATGTGTCTCTTTGGTTTCTTCCTTGTCAGTAAATGTTGTGGGCTGGTTGTCTTTTCATTTCTTCTCCCTGGCTGCTTTCCCGTGACCCCTCTGTCCCATTTCCTGTGTTGGCTCCTTGGGTCCCTCTCTGGCTGCTTTCCCGTAGCTTGCTGGCTGGGTTTCCCGTGGCCTTTCTTCCTGTTTTCTGTGAAGAATTTGGGGGCTGTTGTGGTGTCTTTTGGCATTTCATTTCCCCAAACCTGATTGGTTTTGGTTGGAGGTGGAATGGTTGTTTGGCTTCTTTCTTTTGCTTATAAATTGGAGATGTTTTGAAATAAAAAAAGGTTGTTGAATATTTGAGCAAAGTCTCTACTAAAAACCTTAGGGTTTCTTCTCTTGGAAAAGCTTGAGAGCTTGTTCCACCCCCTTTCCTCCTCTCTATTTCATCTTGGCTTCTAATCTCTTCTTCTCTATGCAAGTTCCACTCCACCTATATCCTTCTTGAGCTCTTGGAAGTTGTTTGTTGGCTGATTTTTGGAGACATTTGCTAGAGGAGTTTGGTAGGACGTTGGACCCTTTTGCAATGGTGGACTCTCGGTTTGCAAGCCTAAGCACTATTTTCATATATTTTCCTACTCTTGTTGCATGTGAGGAAACCGCTTGTCGGTTGTTCTGAGGATAGCATTTTTATATTATAATTTTGTTTCGTTTGATTTGACTTTTCGTTTATCTAGAAGTTTGTTTGGATGTTTGCAAGTTAAAGTGAATCGAGTTTGGTTTTAGTGTCCTTGTGTTCTCCAACTTGGCTTTTCTTTCTAGTTTGCTTACATCAATGTCTAATAATAGAATTTATTTTAATAGAATTCTAATCATCAATATAATCATTATTTTAAAATTTAATTAATTTTCTAATTAATTTTTATTGATTACGGAAAAGGAAGATGGCTGAGATTAAAGATAAGGACTAGGAGGATGTTGACACAACATAGGAAAAAGGATGAGAGAAAGTAAATAATAAAATGATAATTCTAATAAAGACTATAAATAATGAGTATGAGAGACTTTTGAATTCATAAATTATGATCTTAATAACTCCAACTATTTGTTTGTGTTAAACTGAGAATAGTGTGACTTATTTTCATGATCTTACTTTTAATTGTTATGATCTTACTTTGATATCTTACTTTAATGTTACTACATTAGTTATTATTTAATATTTTTTATTAACTTAATGATTTAATTTTGAGGCTTACGCCTCGCCCACAAATAGAAAATGCCTAAATATTCGTTTAAGTGATTTCAAACCTTGATTCCGTGATAATTTACGACTTAACAAAAGATGTTGTACTGCAAATATACTTTTGGGGAGTTTGCATTGTCGACAATAGGACTTTAATAACCGTAAAAGTTGCCTGCATTTTACTTCTCATTCTCTCTTCTTTCTTGATGTTAGACCTCTAGATTTTCATCGAGTAATGCTTCACCAAAAATGAACATAATCATTAACAAACAAAATAGAAGAAAAATGCTTTTATAGCAAGAGATGCATGTGACTAAGTCATAAAAATATTTGAAGTTCTGAGGAGCTGGCATATATACTTATCTCATACATTTACAATATAAAAATAACAGCAGAATGTAATTCTGGTGAAACTAAGAATGTTAACATTGACGTTTTTTATACTTTAATCAAATCAAAAGCATGCTAACGAGCATATAAGAATATCTGTTATCATGATCAAAGCATGGAAAAGTCCAGTAAAAAAATTACAACAAAGAGAATAATGAGCACACAAAGGGTATAACAGGTAGAAGAGGTTCTGAGAACGTACAACACTCTTGCCAAAGTTGTTTGAAAAATGCATGCACAAAATAGTTGATTTTGTACCATGTAAAAAGCCTTGACAAACAAATGATAAGATGATGCTGTATTTATAAAATAAGTAATTCCGTTTAAATAGAGTGAAAGTAAACTGATGACAATGCATACCACTAACGTCAAAAAATTCTTCCTAGGTGGTCGTCTTCTCACCCTAAGAACAGATGGTATCCGTGCATCATATCCTCCAAGCAAGTCTTGGCTGGTATCAACCAAACAAGGTGTCCTAACCTTCGATTTAAGGCAATGTTGATCATGCATTGCAGTTTTACCCAAAGAAGCTACCCTTCCACTATACGCCATGACCTCAACTTCTGTGTGCTCTTCTATGTAACGTTTTGTAGGTCTTCTAATCCTTTTGGCCCCACATTGCTCCATTTGAGTATTCAAATTCTCCACATTGCATTTTTCGAGTGATTTATCAAGTGCCTTAGTAAATGATGCTTTCTGTTCCACAATTCCGCTGCTTGTATCATTCAAGGTTCTCTGCAAAGTCTCATTTAGCGGATCAGTGGAATTGTTCATCATTATATACCCAGGATAAGACATGTTGCGCTGTGTTCTGCTTGTTGTCTCTTCTTGCACATTACAGAGAACTATTTTGTTGTCCTTGATAATGAAATTTGCAGATGGAATATTGCAAGAGTTTGTTAAGCCCATTGCAATACGTCGCTTAAGCCACAATTTATCCTTAACAGAAGTATAACGCCCAAAGGTGGCTCTGAAAGCCTCTTGAAGCTCTCTGATTGAGAAATTATCCAGACAGATCTCTCCCTCTAGCAGAGAAAAGTCAGGCTTCAAACTTGAAAATTTTTTAGAGAAAGATCCTTCAGCAGCTTCATTTACTGCATTCTTTCTAATTTCTGAGCAAGCTTCAGTAGATTGGTTTTTAGCAAGGGTATCGGATATATTTGGCTGGCCAAACGACGGACCATCTACATCCATCTGTTAAGGACATCAATTTGAAAAATAAAAAATTATTCTTTTTTTGACCATTTTCCCACATGACATCCATAAACTAGAAGGGGTTAGTAAAAACGGAGAGGCAGAAGAGGAAAGAGGACTTCTAGAAGTATTTCCATGGTTTCAGTTTGCATAATTTTCGTTGATTCTGTGAAAAAGAGCTAAAATGGTTTATATTGGACCATATGGTTTTACTTAAAAGGTTCTTCTTGGATGCTGGAAAATTTAAGTGGCATGAAAGAGGATTCAAAATCTCAAGTAGCTGCAGATTCATAATGAACCAACGAATACAAGTATTTTATTTCATTTCATGAACTTAACTTCAAAATCTGCTACTGTAGTTTGCTCTTTTTTCTTTTCAGTTTCGTAGACTGTACTAGTAGTTACTTTACCATTAACTTATTCTACTTTCAATTTGTTCTACTTTCTATTTGTAGCTTAGTATAGCATTTGTTATTTTTCCTACTTTAACATTTATTTTGATATTAATTTTAATTTCGATGCTAATAAATTTTATTTGCATGTTACAGTAGCTCATACATGAAAGACTATGGAGAGCTTGCAGTGTGTTGTGGAGAGTTTTGTACAGGATTTTGGAGAGAAAAGTGTTTGTGAGTCGGAGAATTTGAGAGTTGTTTCTACAGGGTTTGGAAAGCAGAGTTGAGAGTTGTGTTTGTTGAAAGTTATGTTTGTTGTTGAGAGTTTGTTTTAGTTGATTTATTTTAAGAGAGTTATTTGAGTTGTTGATTTTGTTAGTATGAACATTGTTGATTTTATGCTTTTTATTTCATTTAGTATTTTAATTTAATTGGTTGATTGGATTTTAATTTAGTTGGCTGGTTGATTTCAAGTTTTAACTTAATTTAATTAGATTCTAAATTTAAGTTAATTAGTTTAGAGTTCAAAATTAGTTAAATGAATTTTTAAAATTGATTATTTGAATTTTAAATTAGTCGATTAATTGGTTGATTGATTGGATTTATTTTAAATTGGTTGAGTGAATTTTAAATTGGTTGGTACATTTTAAATTAGTTAGTTAATTAATTAAATTTTAATTTTAATTAATCAAATTTTAAAGTAAATTGTTTTAAATTTTGTTTTATTAATGAATGAAGTGTTACTCTAATTAAATTGTTTGAGATTTTTAAATTGGTTGAGTAAGGGTTAAATTTTAAATTTATTTTAAAGTGATTAACTAATTGTTCAATTAGTTAATTAAAGTTTTATGTTTTGATTCTTTTAAATTTAAATCAGACTTGTGTTTTTTTATTTAATTATGTTTTAATTAAATGATTTAGTTAATTAGGTTAATGTTTTAAATTTCAAATTATTTGTATACTTTTAATTAAGTTATGTTTTAATTAATTAAAATATTAAGTTAATTAAATTAGGAATTTAATTAGTCAATAATCGCTCTCCAATAATTACTGAACGTTGGTAGTTTCTCGGGCAATTTCGGCAACCTCCCGACGTCGGCTCCCCACCAGGATAAATTGGGACGGCATTTGCCTCGATTTTCTTCCTGACCGGACCTAAGGTCGCCGGCACAAGGCCTTGAATTTAAAACCATCTCGGCCGAACCTAAGGTCGACGACACGAGGTCTTCAATTTAATTCTTCTCGACTTGATTTAAAATCAACGATGCAAGGGTTTTGATTGGAAACCATCCAAACCAGATCTAAAATCGATGGCTTAAGGTCCTGAATTTAAAATCATCCTGGCCGGATTTAAAATCAACGTTGCGAGACTTCATATTGTGAAATAAAAATGTCTACTTGTTTTCAAGAATAAAAAAAATTATTTTACTATAAATTCATGAATCCATATAATTGGATTGGAGTAGTCATGAGTGCTTGATGTAGGAGACAAGTAATTTGAATTGTTATAAGTGACGGAATACTCATGAAACAAATTAGAGAATTAAACCTGTGAGAGAGGTCATAAGCAGGTGTGGTGCATTCGATTTGGGCAGCCAAACGACAAGTCATAGGCATCGTTTGCTAGGCGGCTTACACACGAACAAGAAAGGGCATGCATAAGATGTGTGATCGGCAAGGGGTTCTGGGCGGAGACGTTCGCGTGAAGGGATTCACAAACAAACTATTCCTGCAAGTGAGGCTTGGAGACCAGTCTGATTGACAAAGGCAAAAGCAATTTCGGGACTGATGTCCAGGCAAGAGGAGGCTTCACACCAACGGGAGGCGGGTCTGGCCTTTCGATCGAGTTCGATCAGCACAGATAGAGCAGGTTCAGTGGAATCGGTTCGAGCGTGGGTCGTCATGCGCGTAAAGGTAGGTTGGAGCGGGAGGGTGGCCGATTGAAGGTGTTCGACTGAATTGCGTCAGGATTTGCTAAATTGGAAGAAGACGGGCTTGAGTCAAAACAGTATGAGATAGTTGGCTTATAGTTACAGGTATTTCATGCAAAGAAGAGGCGGAGGGCTGGATTGGAGTTTTGAAGGATTGTGGGAGATTAACGAAGCAAGGTAACTGAACATAATGAGAATAAGTTTTTTCTTTTGTTCTGTTTTCTTCCCCTTTTTATTGATTGCATTGCTGAAAAGATCGGGATACTCAGTTGGATGAGTGGATTTACCCTTAGAGACGGGATACAAAATGAGCATATACGTGAAAATGTTGGAGTAGCTCCAGTGGATAATAAGATTAGAGAGAGTCGTCTTAGATGGTTGGGTCACATAAAACGACGGCCTTCCGATGACTCGGTTAGGAAAGTAGAAGTATTAGATTTGACTTATATTAAGAAAAGTAGATGTAGACCTAAAAAGACTTGGTTAGAAAATATTAGAAATGATCTTTCTTTATTAGATTTAAACGAGAATTTGATTGTTAACGTGACACAATGGAGAAAAATGATTCATGTAGCCAACCCCATGTAGTGAGCCAAAGGCTTGTTGTTGTTGTATAACTTAATTTAATTAAAGTTTATAACTTAATTTAATTAAAATTAATATCTTTATAACTTAATATAATTATAATTTTATGTTGCAAATTTTAATTAAATTAAGTTATAAAGTTATTAATTTTAATTTATAATTATATTAATTTATACATTATAATTTATAAGTTATAAGTTATAAAGTTAAATTAAGTTATAAAGTTACTAATTTTAATTTATAGTTAGATTCAATTATAAATAATAATTCATCAGTTATAAATTACAGTTAAATTAAGTTATTAAGTTTTAATTAAATTAAGTTATAAAGTTATCTAAAAAATTAATAAATTAACTTGTATTATCCTCTCTCTCTCTCTTCCCTCACCTCGTCTCTCTCTCTTCCCATCCCACCATCCCTCTTTATGTCCCTTTCTCTCCCCTAGGCTCTCTCTCTTCCCAAATTAAAGCAAAATGCCAAATTATTTGGAGTTTTGGCATTTTCTAGAAAACTCCAAATAATTTAGCATTTTCTATAGAAAACGTCAAATAATTTGGCATTTTTGCTCCTTTTTAAATTATTTAATAATCATGCGTATTTTGCTTAATGATGCATTAGACATGCTTCTTTTTAAAATTCGTCCAAGAATAAATTGCATTCTGTAGGCTTGAAATTAAAGAAACAACATGCCATACAAGTGAAGTAATCAACATACCTTAAACATAACTTTTTTGGTATCAACCTCATTTTCAGATTGCCTGGTCCCTGAAATTATACCTAATTAGTCATCAGATAATGAAATGAAACAGAAAACGCTTAATAAAACCTCAAAAAATGTTCAGAACTGAATTCTCCCAAATAAAGTAACCTAACATGAATGAATTGAGCATTCACAGTTGACAAATGACACTGGCTATTTTGTGCTATAACAAAAACTTCTCAGTTAAAAAGTGCATTCAGGTACCATGGATTGTGAAAATCATTTTTAAAACGTGTAGAATGCATAGCCACAATTACCGTTGCGTCACACTTTGATGAGTTGAGGATGTACATCCAAGTAAAATGTCCTCCATCATTGTAGACAGTGTTCCTCTAATCTTACCTCGGTTCGATTACCAATTAAATTCCAACACACAACACATCTTTTTTCCTTGAAAAAAAAAAAGTTTCCTCAAAGAAAATAAAGTTAAACAAAATATAACTTAAATTCTACAGCTTTCCACAAAGATGTATTTTTTAAAGCATAAGTTAAATAGAAGGCATGAAATAGCGCTTGCTTGTTTTCAGGTAAGATTGCAACTTCGTATTGTCTACGGTTACTGAGCAACACAAAAAAAGGAGACAAAGTAAATAAATCTTCCAAATGGATTTGTGACTGATAAAATTTCTGCCTGAATTAAAAAGTTTGGGCTGGCAAAGTGATTAGTCAAATATTTATGTACTCTTTTATAATTTGGTTGATTATGTATTGTAATTTTTATTTTGGTTACCCTATGATGGAAGACAACCGATGAACATGCTAGTTTGGTGCTCTTAGGTTTGTATCTCCCTTTCCTTCTCTTTTGACCTCGTTTTTCCCCCTCGGCAACTGTCCCTTGGTTGCTATATGGATGCTTCAATTTTCCCCCCTTGGTGTTTCGGTTTCCCCCTCCTTCGAAGCTGTGTTGTTGCCTCGGTTCCCCCCCCCCCTTTTATGCTATGTTTATGCTTCATTTTTCCCCCTTGGCACCCTATTTGCTTTAGTTTTAATGAGTTTTGATTGGTTGGATATGTGGTGTTTTACCTACCCACATTTATTGCTCTTTCCCCTTTTCTTCCCTATAAATAGGGGTTGTTTTCCCACTTGTTTTGGACAGTTTTTGGTGAAGAATTTGCATACAAACATGCAGGTTTTTCTATGTTGCGAGCTAGCCTCCTCTCCCCTTCCCCTTTATTACTTCGTCTCGGTCTTCTACATCTTCTTCTCTATCCACAGTTCCCACCCCATCTGTATCATTCTTCTCTTGTGAACTTGGTGGTGTCTACTGCCACGTTTTGGTTGGTATTTGCCGGAGGAGTGTGGCTTGTACCATATCGTTTCAATGGTGGATTCCGGGTTAGATCTATCCTTTGATCACCTATCCTTTATATTTCGAGCTTTACATGTGAGTTTACTGCTTGTTGGTTGTTCTGAGGGTAGTTTTGTTGTCATTTATTTATGTTTACGGATTTTGTAAGCTGTTTCTAGAACTTGTTTCTACTTTTAGTTTTATATGTGGATGTTTATGCTTTACTGAAAGGAAGTTCTCTAATTGATTTCATAAATGTTCTCTATAAAATATTTAGAAACTTAGGTTGCATCAAAAAGGTTCTGAATTCAAGAGATTTAGGGTTAACAATTATGAGATAAAAATATAGGATCAGACTAGAAAAGTGATTAAGATGTCCCAATCGTGATCTCGAGGTCATAGGTTTGAGCCAAAAAACCTCTTTAAATATTGAGGTAAGGCATGCATGTCAGTAGACCCACAAACCCACAACTAGCGAGAGTTTCATGCACCGTTTGCGCCCTTTTATTTTGGACAAACACATGCCACAGATTTTGAAAAAGCACAGATAATGTGATATGCACACATAAGATATTAAAATATAAACAGAAATCAGGCACTTTGATCACATGATCAGCTATATAAGTTGATAAGCGCATGTAGATATCAAATAAAGAAAACTGATATGTGACATAAATAAACTTGTGTCATCATCTTTTTCACTTGAGATACAAAGTTCAGGTTGTTGACAGATTGAGTGTAAACTAGTTTACCATCTTCCTCGACAAAATGCTTAACCTCAATGAGCTCATCATCTGTGGCAGGAATCAGCCTTCCATCGCCATCAACCTAAGAAAGTAAACAAGCTTCACTAATCAGAATAAACATGAGAATTATGAAAAGGTAATATTAACTTCAAAAAGGATATTCCTTTAGCAATGTTCAATCTTCCAGAGAAAATCAGCATCATCATTGCAACGGGAGAAACGATTATCAAAAAGCCTTGTTTGGAGCAAGAGCGTGCTCTGGAGTTGCAAAGCATGTGCTTTGCTCCTAGAGCATAAGAGCCTAAAAAGTGCACTTCAAGTCCGTTGTTTCCTCTTCACTATGTTTTTGAATAATAGCACTGCTCATTTTCTTTCTTCTAGTTTTTTCTAGCAATTAAGTTTCAGTATGGTTGGTATTTTGTTGTTTTTCTCCTAAAATCCTGTTACAGTTCATCCATACTAAAGCTTATTACAATTTCTATTGTTAGGAATTTGAAAAATTAATGCTGCTCCCATTTTTTCTCCTTCCAGTAGTAACAAAGTAAATAAGTCGGCTAAGACTTTCAGGTACGTTTATTTGGTGTACATTTTGTTTTATTAACTTCATACTTAATTTTCAAAAAATTCATTGATGATTTATCTAAATAATTCCTCTTAGTAGTTATGCATGTAATTTATCATATTAAATCGAGTATCTAACAAAAAGAAAAGGTTCTGAATTAACAACAAAACAGGTAAAATTATATAAAGTGGGGCTACGGCTTTATTGAAGCATCACTCATTCGCAATTTGCACTTAGCAGCAAGAAAACTCCATGAGTTTCACTTTTCTCCTGAAGCTTAAAACACATGGAACCAAACTAGTAACATCAATAGCCAGCTGCTATCATGAATAGCGCAAAACAAACGGAAAATTATAAAATATAATTGCTAGAGACAAAGTTAATTGGAAGACACCAGGCGCACAAAACAGTAAAAAACTATCAATTGCATGCACAAAAAAAAAACCTCCAAAAAAACAAAAGAGCTAGGTAAATTTACCGAAATCACCAGGTTTATGTGAAATGGGGATATTGGCAACATATCGAAGAAAAGATGGGTGGGTGCAAATACAGGAGAAAAAGATGGGTGGGTGCAAATAAAGGAGGAAAAGATGTCTGCATCAAGTAAAGGATGGAAGAGGAATGGCAGATAAAATGGGAATTTAGAGAAGGTCCTAACCCTAAGAGAAAGAACATATTGAGGAATAAAAAGAATGATATAATATAATAGAATATTGTAGATAATAAGATACAACTAGCACTTTGAGACATGATATAATGACTGTGAACCGAACCCAGCCTCAAATCAAACCAAACCACACAACCTCATCCATCCATATCACGATATCACGATTTGAAAACTTTGAACTCCCACCAATCGAAAAATCGAAAAATTTGCACAAGATCTTGCCCTCTCCCTCTTATCATTTGCACAATCACCGCAACCGTCAAAGTCACAATCTCCATTCGAAATCTCCCACCTCTACACCACCAATATTTTTATTTATGAAGAGCAAATGCTAAGGCATCGCAATTGTTCTCATGTTTCTTCCTTAGTAGCCGCCAAGCTCTTTCCTACCAATGTCTTCCTCTCAGGTTCTCCCTCATAGAAATTGTAGAGGAGACCAACTGATCATTTCTTCCTTCTTAATCAAGGGTTAAATAAGGGCTTCCTTCCTTCCTTCCTTCCTTCCTCGTAGCAAACATTTCTTCCTTTTCTTTCAATAATAAGCCAAACACACAAGTTTTCCTCCTCCCTTTTTTTCTTTTCTTTATCTTCCTTGTCTTTTAAGTCTCTAATGCTCTTTGTATTAGCAGCATCCTCAAAAGAGCACTTTCCTCTCCTTAGGACTTATTAGGTTCATCATCGTCAAACATTTGAGAGCTTGTGATAACTTCTTACTCATTATCTATTCTTTCTAGTAACTTAAAACCAAAAATTTATATTTACGACTAGCTAATGTTAATATTAAATTTAGAACTTATTTTAATAAACTTTGGGATAGGTTATAAAATAACTTTAATATAAATGGTTTCATCCTTTGACAATCATAATTATTTCTGTTTGACTCGGGAGTTATTTTTTTGCTGACTAACTTATACTTTTTAGTTAGCCTAGATGTTATTTAGGTGTTTGATAATAGTTCAGAAGAAATCATGATTTGGTTCATAAGATAGATTGAATCATTGCAATAATACTAATTGATTAAGCTCAATGGTGGGATAAGTTATAATTTTTAAGATGCATCCAATCTACTGACACTTAGTTTTATATGCTTTTATTTGCATTATGATAATCAATTGAATTCCATATTGTATAGGGCATTCAAGTTCAGTTCTACTTGGCACCATTGATTAAATCTCAAATAGACTTAGAGTTTCGTGCTACTCACTTAGAGGTAAGTAATTATTATTTATTGAAGGGCAAACTTACGCTTCTTTGTTAGGAGCATTATCCTTGATTTTTGTAATAAATTCCTAAATATTTTGTAAGGTTGTCAATCCTGTCTTTATACTCTAATTATTTATCATGCATAAGCTCATAATGACACCTTTTATGCTCAAAATGAAACAATTAGTAGAATAAATAGATTTATCTTGATTTATTATCGCACAAATTACTATATACTGAATTGATGCCTATAATATAAGATCTATTTTTCATGCACGTTATTTCTATTTCTACAAATAATATTTATTATAAAACTAACTATCATATTGACCATATAATACTGTTATAACTTCCTAATTAAAATATATGTAAATTGTATGTATGTGTGCAGTGGCTTGTAGATCGGTGGAACTCTTTCAAATAATTGATAGAGGTAGAAGTATGAGATTGTATATCGACTACAGAAAGTTGAACAAGGTAACAGTGAAGAACAAGTATCATCTAACACATAGATGATTTGTTTTACCACTTACATAGTTCTTCTGTGTTTACCAAGATCCACGCTCATTTTAGATACCAACAATTAAAACTAAAGAATGATAATATGTCTAAGATTGTCTTTCAATCTCAATATAATCATTCTAAATTTTTAGTAATATCATTTAGTTTAACTAATGCTTCTATCACTTTCATGAATCTAAAGAATAGAGATTTCAAATCTTGTTCAGAGAATTCCATGATCATATACATTTATGACATTTTGATCTACGCCAAGAGCAAAGAAGAGCATGCCCAACATCTTAAAGAGGCATTGAACACCCTCCTAGAGACAAAGCTCTATGCAAAATACTCTAAGTGTAATTTTTTATTTTGGAAGGTGGCATTTCTTGGATATATTATCAATTGGTTGAAATTTTGATAGGAAACTCTTGTAGATCTAAAGCATTTCCTATCAGTCTTCGGAAAATAGCAAGAATTCTCCACAAAAATCAGCACAAAACCATGAAAACAGTAGATAATTTGTATTTTTTGAAGAAAGGGAAACGGAAAATAGCAATATACAATTGATCCTCTATTCGAGAGGTGGATCTACCGCTCCCAAATCTTTAGACGCTGCTAGAGCCCAAAAGAAAACCTAAATCTAAGATATCTCAAATTTCAGCCAAATTCAAGATGCCCTAACTCTAGGAAAACAAACTATTTAATGCATACAATTCAAAAGGAAATCTCTAAACAGTCCCTACATTCAATTTGCCTCCTAAACTTCATCAAAAATCCTTCCAAAACTGCTCTTTTTGATTTGGTGATTTGATCGGCATGCAAGAGGCGGAGAGTTCTGCCTTTGTTGTCATAAGCTGGTCTGGTATGGACCTGCTGAACCGAACTAATGGACCGGTCTAACAATACTCCCCACCCAAAGATTCATCTTGTCCGCAAGGTGGAAAGACGGCACCCTCCTCCATTGCTTTTTCATCACAAACGGTAAGAACCTAAAGAATTTTGTCATTACACATGTGCCCCTGGCGTATACCTCTCATCACATTTGAAACAGAGCCACTTCGCCCTTTTTCTCCTGCAATTTCGTTTCTGTGAACTTCTTAAAGTTGTCACCCGGTCTTACTCCTACAGTCTTCTCCTTCAAAGTCTCCTGAAGAGTACCCAATGTCAGCTCCTTTGGTGCAAGAAAGGTGGTGGGCCTTTTGTTTGGACCTCATGAGTTGTTGCCTCCCGTATCTCTCTCCAGGTGTCTCTGATCCTCTACAAATTGAGCAAGATCCATAGCCTCTCCCAAATCACGAGGCCTCATTACTCTAACCGCTGCCCGGATCTCTGACGTTAGTCCCTTCATGAAATTTGCCTTTAGCACTGTCTCAGGAATGCGGTCCAATCGACTAATAAGGTACTCGAATCTCTCCCAATACTCCACTAAACCATCCAGTATCAAGGTGAAGAAACTGCTCGTAGAAGTCTCCTCCCCTGCTGGTTTGAAAATGTTCCAATAGGTAGTCCTTAAACTCCCTCTAGGTCCTTATTGGTCATCTCGTATCCCTCTATTGGTGTCATGCTAAAGCTTTCCCTTCCAAGCACATCCCGGCTATCATCAGCTTTTCCTCCTCCGTCAACCTATTGACAATAAAGTACATTTCCACCTTGCAGATCCACCCATGTGCATCTTCTCCCTCAAAGATAGACATCTTCAGTTTCCTCACCCTCAGATCGTCTTCGTTCCCTTTGTTCCCTTCATAATTTACCCTTCCCCGGGGGTGGTTCCCCCCAAGTATCCAAATAGTCTCTTCTTCGTTCATACCCCAGCTTTTCATCAAATTCTCATCTTCTCTTCTCAAATTCAGCACCCCTTGGATCATAACAAACCCCTCCCCTTTCAAATTCAACCCCCCTTGGTCATAATTACCCATTTTTCTTTCCAAACTTGTCCCTCTCCTCTCCAAAACAGCACATCTTCATTCTTGCCCTACCTCCTTATGACTCTCCTCATATCCTCTACCTATCTCCTCCCTAAGAATAAGCTCTATGAGAGATATTCTCTCTTCTCCCTTTCAAGTCTCCACCTCCTGATGTCTCATTTGCCTGATTGGCTTAGGGATTTTCCCATCTCCCTCGTTGTTGGCACCTTCCCTACCCTCCGACG